ATCAGTGAATCCTTCAAAAATAACAAATCCAACAAAATTTTCTCGTCTCTTAAAAAATTGCATTTTTCTGCAAAAAATTCATTCTGAGGCATTAAGATGTGAACGAAAGGACGCTCACCGTGTCGCCGAGCTGGTAAAGATTGGCTAAGAGATCACCATCCCGTAAGAATTCACTAACCTGAAAGTGAATTAATTACAGAAATTTAAAAAAGGAATTTATCACTGCCCGCTCTGATAATCTGTATAGGTTCTCAGTGATGTTCAGGTTTTGTTACAGGACAAAAACAGCTATAACAGGCCTTCTGTTCCGAGGCCGCAGCGGCCCGTTACTACTCAGCAAATCTAGGTACCTTTCGAGAATCTCTCGAGTGGTTAATTTTCGTATTACACGTACTAATCATTAATACATGCCATTAGCATTCCTAGAGCACGGCGCGCGTCTTTCACAGTACAGTGCTTTTTTTTTTCGATGCATGCTTTTCAATGGCGGAACGCTTTACTTTTTCAAGAGTCGGCATCCACCCTTTGCTCCACTGTTCGTTCCTCTGTTTTACTAATAATAGAATAAAAAAAATAGGGTGTATTAACAACGGACGAAAGAAGACAAGGAGCAAAAAAGGTAGGAGTAAAATATCATGCTAGACAGCTATAAATTATTGCACAAACGGCAGCTCGCGGGCTGAATCCAATCCGTGACCAGTTTTAATCCCACCCGCTGAGGGAATCGGAATGTGGTTTCTAACTAGATAAACGGCAAGCCTTTGCATTCTCGTGAAAATAAATAAAACTAAAATACGCACGAACTAACAGACAACACAGTCTGAAAAATACTTTGAGACTATATTCATACTACTAACGATCTGACTGCGTCAATTTTAGTGCAAAAACACATGATCGGATGGGCAAATCTGGTGTGTTGTTACCCGAGTCTTATTAAAAGGTGGCCCGCGAGTTTAAGTAAGCATGTAAATCAGGCCCACGTGTCGCCAGAGGTTGCCCATGCCTGAATTGCTGCCTCAGCATGATCATCCAATATCAGATTTGC